ATGGAGTCAGAAAATTTTTTATTTTCAATTTGAATTACTTTATTTTTCCGATTTCATTGGCAGATATTTGTTCTTAATCATAATCTCACTTCATTTTCATAGATTTTTCAGAAAACAATTAATATCTTAAGTCATTTTGCATCTCCAGTAAATGTATACTGATTTAAGGATGTTTCGATATTTGTGCTGGAAATCAAGCCAGAAACTCTGAGGAAGAACATCATTTTTTGCATCTTTGATACTCAGTTGAGAATCAAAATGAACTGATCTGCACTGAAGCAACTGGGTGAATGAGAGTGAATGTGAAATATCTGTATGTCAGTGAATCAGACTCGTGACATGCTCTCAACACGCCTTCATGTGTCCGAGTTACACCGCCACATCCATGAATCACAGCGTCACGCTTCTAGTGGATTCAGCAAACGTGTGTGTGATCATGAGGAGCTATTATTACCACAACACCCGTCATCATCTGTGTGTGTGTGTGTGTGTGTGTGTGAACCTCGGTTTAACGTCTCATCCGAAGCACGGTGCTTGTTGACAGTATAGTGTCCCCGTCTGTCACGGAACGCCAGGAGAGACAAGGTAAGATCCAGTTGCAGTTTATTGAAAGTAACAAATGATCAAAACAGAACAAAAACGTGGCAAAAGGTAATCCAAAACATAGAGAACAGATAACACGAAGTAACTTTAGACAACTACGAACTCAGAAGACAAATACAATATAGCAGACGTCATAAAATGACAGACAGAGTGAGCATGGTATATATAGATGGGATAATGAGTAAATGACTAACAGGTGATAATGATGGGAAATGATAAACAGGTGCTAATGATCAGAACAGAATTAACAAGCAAGGGACTATGGGAAATAGAGTTAAACACATCAAACATAGAAACAGGAGAGCACCCTCAAGTGGCCAGTCCAGGGCACCACAACCAGACACTGTGACACCATCACTATACTGGGGCGTTAGGACCAACACAGACCACAGGGTGAGCGCCCCCTGCTGGCCTCATTAACACCTCTTTTCACTTTAGGTGTGAAAGGCTTTTATATTTGCCAAAAATATAACTTTTTTTATTTTAAAAACAAACAAGCAAGCCCTGTCCAGATTTTAAAAGTAACGCAAAAGTAACGTAACGCATTACTTTCCACAAATAGTAACTAAGTACCGTAATTAGTTACTTTTTATGGAGTAACGCAACATTGTAACGCATTACTTTTAAAAGTAACTTTCCCCAACACTGTCAAACACAGACAGAATGCAATTAAAATAGTTGTGAAAGAGTCTGGGAGGGAAAGAGACTTATTTGTGACAGTTAGTGTATATCAGCACTGTTCACACACTGACATCTGCTGGACAGAAACCAGAACCTGAGATGATCCCAAAACACAACATCAGCAGCTTCAGATCAGCTCAGAACCGAGAAGAACCGAGTCATCTACAGATCCTCTCAATGTGTTCTAGTAATGATGTGTTACTGTTACAAAGACGTTACTTCTGAATGCTTAAAACATTCAGGGGTTTTTTATGTTTTACCAGTGTTTTTTTTTTTTTTTTGCTTATATGAATAAGGAATCATTTCATTTGATCATTTTGCAAACATTATGTTTATATTCTTCGAATGTTCTCTGAACGTTCTGAAATAAGTAACGCTAAAAAGACTTTAGATGAACGTCCGTATAAAACATTTTAGAAGAAAATCGTTCTGTGCTAAGGTTTTGGGAACATTATTAAAGAACAAAGGACTTTGAATGAAAGGTCTTTTAATGTTGCTGGAGGAACGTTTGAGAGAACCCTTCAGAATGTTAAACTAAAGTTCTGAGAATTAGGGATGGGCGATACCCCTTATTTTGTTTTCGATACGATACCGATATTTTTCAAGGCAGTATCGTCGATATCGATACTGATTCGATACTTCTGGCAAAACCACTGGTAAATAAAATGCACGTTTAGTATCGATATATCGATATTTCGGATCGATACGCCCATCCCTACTGAGAATGTTCCTTGATATATATATATATATATTTTTTTTTTTTAAATGCAAAAAAAAAAAAAATGTACACACTGCCCTTAATCCTGTTTGTCTATGGTTTAAATTTTTTTTAAACACTTAAAATATTTTAAAGCCTATATTATTTTTTAGTTGTGCAGTGAATTGCATATATAGTAGATGTAATAGAGGAGTGGGATGACTTTATTTTATAAGGTAGATTTTTTATTTTTACAATGTTTTTGTAATGTATTAATTATCACGGGCTAATAAAAAACAAGTAGGCCTATACTAATACTAAATTTCGCAAGTTTTTATCCCTGATTCTGCTCTGAATTGTTATTTAGCGTGAGAGTTGGCAACCCTGCTAAATAGAAGCATTATGTGTGACAGACTTTATTTTGTTTTGTTTAATATTTTAGTTTTTAATAACAAATTTCCAGCTGTGATGTTTATCAGGGTCACATTTGTTCAAGATAATAAAATCGTTTCATTTTCTCACCTGGGCTTTACTGCAGTTTAGTTATTGTTCTGAGTAACTGCTGGATTTATGCTCTGAATATCTTCATGAACTCATTTCAGTCCTACAGCTTTTATACTGAGTAGAACTAGTCATTCTTATAGTCTTCTTTCTCGGTTAAGATAGATTGAACTGAAGTCAGTGCAGCAAGAGAAGAAACAAAGCAACAGGACTGAACCTGAATCTCATGATGTTTCTTTAAAAAACATTGTGAATGTTACGGCCCAAACCAAAAAAAAAGCGCTGTTTTTTTTCTTCTTATTATTATTATTTTTGTTGTTTTTGATGACCCTTCTTGACCAGCTCAAGAATTTAGTTCTGAACTCTTCAGGTCTGTTGAGATGAATAATTTAATTAGCTTCAAGTGTTTCTAAAGAGAGAAGTGTCTCACACCTCACCTCATTAGCATACATGAATAATTAATGCTGATGGTCTCTCATGCAGGTAAAGCTTTTGTCTGAATGTCTGGAGCTTCAGTAAGACTTTCTCACGTGTAAATCATTAATGCATTGTTGCCTTGATTGCACAGACTCTATGGAGCTGGACGATGAATCACTGAATCTACGATGAACTGACTTTAGCTGATAAACTGACTGTTTTCTATTGTCCTCTTGCATTATCAGAACACGCTTTTCCTGTTTGACTCTGTAAAGCTGCTTTGGCACAATCTGTGTTGTATAAAGCGCAATACAAATAAAGGAAAAACAAAACAAAAAAACATGCAGGCATCAGGGTAGGATTATTTATTTGTAAAACTGATTTGCACAACTACTAAAAACAGTAAAACAATTGGGGATGGTTGTAACACTTCCAATTTCTCCAGTCAAGTTACAAATCACCTGATTCCCTTCACTCACTCACACACACACACTCACACACACACACTCACACACACACACACACACTCACACATGAGTCAATACAATAAACACTACAGAGCATTCATTAGACACTACAGAGAAGTATATTGTATTGAGTAAACTATTTTGGAATTCTGTAAAAAAGTATAGTAATGATTACTGAGTACGGTGAATATATTGTATAGGCCTACTGTATGTACTGCAAGAACAGTATTGTGCTGAATATTGAATAGCACTGAATGTTTGCATATATTCAGCTCTTGGATACTGCAAAGATACTGCAGTCCAACTGCAAAGACCAAAAAGCTCAAATAAAACTCTAAATGAATAGCATGCTACAGAACACTCAAGTACTGTAAGTTCAGAGTCAATGAGACACTCATTCTGTCTCAGCATCATGTCTGTGTGCTTGAAGACTTCACATCACAAATAATGCTGTCTTTTTTGCTAGACAGAGAGAAAAACCCATCCAGCCTTGATAACACTCTCTAAACCTTCCTCTTTCTCTCCTCATCCTCCACTTCTACATGTACTCTCCCTCCTCTCCTTCTCAGATCGTGTCCATCTATTGTTCGTCTCATCGTTCAGTCTCCTGTGCCACTTGTGCTCTCTGAGCCGGCTCATATGTTGTACAGCTGGTTTGATCACATCATTAGAAACAAGTGTGAACAGTTTTGAATCGTTGTGTGTAAACGATGACAGAACTGTGCTTTAGTTGTGTTTAACTTTAGCAGCACAAGTGTGAGAAGTGTTTGAGTGAACGAGAATGTGTTTAGAGTTTTGCAAATAGAGCCTAACTGCCTGAACGTGTTTAAGGTTTAGCAGAAAGAGTGCTTTATTCGGCAAACTGGTTTAAGCTAGTGAGAATTTGGTTCAGAGATTGGGGTTTAGTGTTTTAGCAATTCAGAAAAACTGTAATACATGTGATGACTTGCCCC